TGTTCAAGGCAAAAAACAAAAACAAAAAAGTTAATTATTTTGTTTAAAATTTAAACAAATCGGATTGACTCTGATTGGTAAAGGTGTTGCCCGGAGAAATGAACCAGTGAATGGCTGTAAAATATTTTGTTGAGATGAAACAAAAACAGTGTGTGTGCATGTTCTGTCTGCAGGTAATAGTGTGTCTGCATTAATATGTACAGCTTCCAGAACATGCGAGTGCACCATACGGAGAGCCTGACAGACCATTCTAAATTGGTTGTCAGCATATTTCCTAGCACAATCAGGACCATTTAGCAAATATTTTGCAATCACAAAATTACAACTAATGTTGAACACTGTATTGAGAGTTTTGTGAGAGGGGAATACTTGTGTGCAGTCTGTACCTTGCTTGTTGCAAATAGTTGAAAGGATACACTGCTTCATACCATCCTCATGTCTTTGGGACATACAGACAACACAGGTATATATTTAATATCGCACTGACACTGAACTAATTTGTAGATATTTTTAATGAACCTGTCCAGCAATGTTATGACACACATCTTGAGCAGGTGGGACACTACCACTTCACTTACCAGGGAGCAGAGTCAGCACCAGACCCTGTAAGGGAGGAGCATTGAGCAGTGAGTGTAAATTTATAGCCGAGGATTTGGAGGCCTATTTACTAGGAAGCAGAGTCGGTCAGACATGGTGGGGGAGAAACTTAAAAAACACCAAGGAGAAGAAAACGATAGTACGTTAAATTGTAGTAGTAATATTGGGGACAACATTAAGAAAGAGAGATGCAAGTAATAAAGTACAGCTATAATTATGGGCAACTTTAATCTGAATTTAGATTGGGCACATCAAATTAGCAGCAATACTGTAGTGGAAGAATTCTTAGAGAATATATGGGCTAATTTTATGAACTAATACTTTGACGAACCAATGAGAAAAAAGGTCATCCTTGACTAGGAATTGTGTAAGAAAGAAATAATTGACCATCTAGTTGTGAGTAAGCCCTTAGGAAAGAGTGACCATAAAAAGATTCGATTCCTTATTAAGATGGAGAGTGACAAAGTTGTTTCTAATGTTCTGAATTTAAATAAAGGAAATTATGAAGTACCCATGAGCTAGCTATGATAAAATGGAGGGCATTAATTAAAAGGATGACAGTAAAGGATGATGCATGCTAAACATTTAAAGAGTGCATGGACAAAGTGGTCAGGTGATGGTTAGGGAGGCAGAGAGAAAACAATGAATTATAAACCTATCGGGTTGACATCAGTAGTGGGAAAAACACTGGATTCTATTAGAAAAGATGGAATAGCAGAGCACCTGGAAGATAATAACAGGATCAAACATTTTCAGCATGGATTTAAAAAGGGGAAGTCATGCTTGACTTTTCTGCTGGAATCTTTTGGGAATGTAATTAGTACAGTGGATAAGGGAGAGCCAGTGGATGTTTTTTGCTTGGATTTTCAAAAGGTTTTGATAAGGTCCTGCATAAACATTAGCATGCACAATTAAAATACATGGAATTGGAGTTTGTGTATTGAAGTAGATTGAGCAGACACGAAACAAGCAGTAGGAATAAACAAGATCTCTTTTTAAGCAAAAGACAATGACTGGTGGGGTACCACGGAGATCTGTGCTTCGACCCCAGCTATTCACAATATATATTAATGATTTAGATGAGGAGACTATGTGTCATATCTTAACATTTGCTAATGTCACAAAGCTGGCTGAGAGGGTCTGCTGTGATGTGGATACAGAGATGCTTCAGTGTGATTTGGACAAGTTATATAAATGGGTAAATACACGGCAAATGCAGTATAATGTGGATAAGTGTAGGGTTATCCACTTGGGCAGAAAATAAAACAGGCAGGCAACTTATTATCTGGGGAAGTGGGTGGTGCAATAAGACCTGGTTGTCCTGATGCAACAGTCACTGAATGTAAGCTTCATAGTGACAGGATTCAAGTAGAGGTGCACGGATATCTTGCTGCAACTGTACGGGGCATTGGTAAGATCACACCTGTCATGCTGTATATAGTTTTGATCTCCTTAACTGAGGATGGATGTTCTGGCTATGGAGGGAGAGCAAAGAAAGCTTACCTTACTGAAAGAGCTGAGTAATGCTTAGCCATTGTAATTTCTTTCATCTTGGAATATCTTAAGAAGCTGCTTATCTCTATCTTACAGGTACAACTTAACCACATCTGACAATGAAAATTACACTAGAACAGATATTTTAACAATACAGGTTATTTACAACTGTGTTTCATCCTTTGTACCCTCAATAAGCTTCTTTTATTCCTCTGCCTCCCACTACCTCTAAGTATAGTGCTGACTTCCATAGCTGGGATGAAGGTACATTGCTTTTTGTTTAGCTCTGGTGTCTATGGGAGAGCAGTGTAGCACAGCACAATGAAGCTTACTGGGTTGGTTGGTCATTCAGATTTCGGTGTCCCTGCATGAATGGTCATGTTCTTCTCTAGATAATTCAAGAAACATTTCCTTGTGCTGAGAAGTCAGATGTCTGTCACTGTCTACTCTTTCCCACAGTTCCATATTGCCCTCCCTTTGCCCCTCTCCCCACCAGACATATGGTCCCATTACTCCTGTAATGAGACAAAGGGAGGGGACGAGTATGATAGTTTTGGATGAAAGGGCAGTTTGTGATACAGGAGCAGGAGAGGTGATGAAGTGTCCCTAGTGAGTGTGTAGGTAGTGTAGAGGACAAGAGGAGTTTGTAGTTTGGGAGAATGATGTAAGTGTGAGCGCTTGAGTAGACATGTGGCACGTAGTAGTGAGAACTGTAGTCCATTAGCCTTGGTGAGATGTGTGCGCAGTGGCAGAGTTCAAGTGAATGGATGTCCCGTAACTGTAAGCTAGCATAGAGAAATGGTGGAACGTGACCCTGAATGCAAAAGTTCATTGACCTTTTTCCTGCACTGATAGATGTTTGTTTTGTCTTGGGATGCAGAACTCTCTGGGCTGGCCAGGTCAGGTGGTGTGGCCTCCTGTGGTCATTTACAGGGTTATGGTTAGCCCTCCTCTCCACCAATCCATTCACGAGTGCTTAGAATCATAGAGATGTACAGCATGGAACAGACCTTTCGGTCCAACTTGTCCATGTTGACCTGATGTCTGAAATTAATCTAGTCCCATTTGCCAACATTTGGCCCATATCCCTCTAAATCCTTCCTATTCATATGCCTATCCAGATGCCTTTTAAATGTTGCAATTGTACCAGCCTCCACCACTTCCTCTGGCAGTTCATTCCATACACTTGCCACACTGTATGAAAAAGTTGCCTCTTCGATCCCTTTTAAATCTTTCCCCTCTCAACCTAAACCTATGCCCTCTAGTTTTGGACTGTTCTTCCCTAGGGAAAAGACCTCGACTACTTAACCTATCCATGCCCCTCATGATTTTATAAACCTCTATAAGGTCACCCCTCAGTCTCCCGACGCTCCAGGAAAAATAGTCCCAGCCTATTCAACCTTTCCCTTTAACTCAAAACCTCCAAGGCTGGCAACATCTTTGTAAATCTTTTCTGAACCCTTTCAAGTTTAACAATGTCTTTCCTACAGCAGGGAGACCAGAAGTGAATGCAGTATTCCAAAAGTGGCCTAACCAACGTCCTGTTCAACCATAACATGACCTCCCAACTCCTAAGTTCAATGCACTGACCAACGAAGACAAGCATTCCAAATGCCTTCTTCACTACCCTGTCTACCTGTGACTCCACTTTCAAGGAACTATGAACCTGTACTCCGTGATCTCTTTGTTCAGCAACATTCCGCAGGATCTTACCATTGAGTGTATAAGTCCTGCTCTGATTTGTCCTATCAAAATGTAGCACCTCACATTTATCTAGATTAAACTCCATTTGCCACTCCTTAGCCCATCTGACCATGGTCCCGTTGTACTCTGAGGTAATGTTCTTCACTGTCCATTACACCACCAATTTTGGTGTCATCTGCAAACTTACTAACCATACTTCCTATATTCATATCCAAATCATTTATATATATGATAAAAAGCAGCAGCACACCGCTGGTCACAGGCCTCCAGTCTGAAAAGCAACCCTCCACCACCACCCTCTGTCTCTTACCTTCAAGCCAATTTTGTATCCAAATGGCTAGATCTCCCTGTACTCCATGTGATCCAACCTTGTTAACCAGTCCACCATGCGAAACCTTGTCAAATGCCTTACTGTAGTTCACATAGACAACGTCCACCATTCTGCCTTCATCAATCCTTCTTGGTCCCTGTTTATGAAGTGGTGTGCAAGCTTTTCCTACCTCTGTGCCATAATGGTTGAGTGCCACAATGTGAAGGATAGCTCCTGTTTTGCAAGATCTCATGTAAAGTTGGCATGAACATCATAAGGTTCCAGCAGTGGTTAGGCACTTCTGCCTCTCCTAACAATTTGCAATGTTAATGAAATGAAGAATGGAAGATTGTGTGTAAAACAAAACAGGCTATAGTGGGAATCATGAGTCTTACTCAACAAAAACACTAACTGAGAATGGGAAAATTGCACCTTGAATTTTCATAATTTGTTTAGTTTGTAGCACCAAGATCAATGTTGATTTTCAGTCTAGAACCTAACTTCTCAAAACCTCCCTCCAAGACCTCATTCGTATATCCTTCAGCTAAATGTTAAACCCTTATTTATGTCTCTGTATTTTCTCTCTCCTTCCCCATGCTTTTAAGATTTGGTATTTTGCTTATAGACCCCCCAAAATGTTCATGCATCCTCCTAATTATAAAGTTTCCCAAATTACCTACTCTTATGGCTATTCTCATTTTTTTTTTAGTTGAATTGCTCATTTACCCATTATCTGTATCTTAATTCTGGTCTTCATTATTAGTACCTGTGCATTTTGAGTAAGCAAAGACTGATGCAACTCTTTTGTCTGTCCAAAGTGTATTAGATTTGAATTTACATTTATATCTGTAGTAATTATTGAACCCTATCTCAAACCTTGCTCATCATCTTTCAGAATCCCGAAGAGTAGAAAGCTGAGCAAGATGTATTGCTACCTGTACCTGAGTGAACTGAAATGATGACATTGATCAATATTTCCGTAAAAGCAACCAAACAGTCCACATCTATGCCTGTGAAACATCACATCATGAAAACCATTCAAGTAATCTGGTCAGTTTCATTATTTTACTTGATTTATCCCTGAATTCGGAGGATCTGTCTGTCTTTTATGTGAATGCAGACTGATCAGAAATATTTGGGTTTAAAGCATAGACATTAATTAATTACCTACTTCAATTTTTCTCTGCTGAAGTTATGGTGTATTTAAAAATTGTTATTGCTTTTGTTTAAGATACAAAACCATGTCAGGTGTTAATTATTCACGAAGTCTAGGATTGTTTATTCAAAAATCGGGTTAGAAACCATTCAAATAACCATTGTAGGTCTTTGATGGTTTTAATCTGACTGTGTTACAAATATAGAGGTAGAAAGGTGATGTGGTTCATCTACCTTTCTCCATGTCATAACAACACTTTGGCCAAGTAACAGTCACGTTCAGGAAAAAGAATTATTCATATTGTTCAATTAGCTAAAAGAAAGTTAGAAATGAAAAGTCATGAATTAAAAAAAAAGAGGAAATAAAACAAAAGGAAATGGTATGAGAGGAGAATGAAAACCGAATGATGGAGAGGTGAGAGAATATCGATGGATAAATTATGTAGTTATGGATGTATCATTAACAGTCATGTGAAATTAATGTTCACAAACCAATGTTTTTAGCTCCATTTACTCAAGTGGTGATATCCATCTAGACTCAAATAATTGGAGGATGGATATGCAATGTCAACTCAACAAGATAATGAGAATCTCCAATGTTGTTTGGGGGTTGTTCAACGTTCCTTCTCCAAATACTCCCAAACTTACACAGAAAGTGTAACAAATTTGCTCAGGAAAAATGGTCCCTTTTTAATGGCATGAAGGGCCTAGCATGTTTAACAGGGTCAAGTTCACTATCTGAGGAAATATCCCAACTCTAAATCTATGATTCAAGAATTAAATGCTTTTCAAGAAGGGCTCAGAGCTCGTACACTTCAGAAAGGAAAGTCAATTCTATTCCACGGTTCCAAAAGCTTATCGCAATTTAAAACTACTCAAACACAAAACAGCCATTTTGTTTGCAACATACAAAAAGGGGACTGTTCTATATAACCAGGGCTCTGATATGCTAACTAAATAACTCAAATGCATCTCTATTGTGGTGTTTTCTAATAACTTTAGCAGTGTTTTCCAGATGGTATTTTGAGATTATGTTTTTCAATGATATTTTGTAAATTTAATATAATGTGCTTTTTCTGTTTTAGCATTTGTACATCAGAGCATTTGAAGGATAAAGAAATGCATTCAGTAGTCATTCTTCTGGCCAACAGAATTTTTTCTAATTAGTTTAATTTTGACAAATTATTAAAATATTCTGCAAATTGGTGAGTAACTAAATATCAAAGCTAAAAGTGTACTGGAGGAGATGGCTGTTTATTCCATACCTAATATGTATCACAGTCTTTCTCACATGGCCTTGTATCTTCTTTTTGTAACTACAATATTGCAAGTGTTTCATTTAAAATGTTACTTTCAATTGAAAAAGTAGAACTTTTTAGGTATTCTGTTTAATAATTCAAAATACGCATGCTAGGAGATAATTATTTATTAAAATATTCTTGAGGATGAAAGTATTTATCATAGTGAGCTTTTGATAAGGATTATGAACAAAAATACATAAATAAATGGCATGGTGAAACTGCAAGTTAATTAAAGAAAAAAAATGTATGGGTACCAAAAAAGACCTTCAGTGCATTAAGCAACAATGTGCCTTTCTGGTATTGTGTGTTGTGTGAATTAACATAGACGTAATATCTCAGATGCACAACATTCCTCATATTCTGTTCATTCTCAGAGCTGTAAGGTCTTGGAATCAAAAATTGTGACAATGGCTTCAAAGATAAAGATCATGGATGAAGTGAGATGGCTTCCAAAGAATCAAATTATTTCCATAAAAAAATAAATCTGTCAGATAGTAACTCATAATTACTCAATGTCAGGCAATATAGCCTATACTCTTATTTCTGTCTTGGACAGTAAATATAATCACTAATGAAACGTGAAAATTTAATTATTTCTACTCTAATACATAAACAATAATTTTCCTTATTTTTGAATGTGCATGGCCATTGTTTTCACAAACGCAATAAAAGCAGCATCTTTTTAAAGTTGAAAAAATATTTGTTAAATGCAAGTGACCGTGATGAAAATGCCTGCACTTCAATAAGTCAAAATACAAACTTGGGGGAGAAAAAATGCAATATTAAAGGCATCATTTGTGAGTAAACATATTTTCAATGGATTTACATTTTTTTTACATTTAATTTTACTGTTGGTTGCAATAAATTTTAATCATGATGTCCTTGTAACTGATTCAATAAATAAAAAGTAAAATGAAAAGTTCAGAGAAATCAGATGGCTTGTTGTTAGAAATTAGAAAATGTTATCAGCTTTGTGCATTAATGTACACTTCCTAAACAATGCTTTCACAGAAGTTGTTCATAGAACAATAGATAGGCCTGAGCATTGAGTACTCTAGCTTCAGGAACTGCCTGTACATGGGTGTCATTGACGTAAACCCACTGCCTTGATGGTGCTCCAGCATCTCTGAAACCTGAAAAACAAAGATTGTTAATAAGCAGACTAGAAACTGCACTATATTCTTCCAGCAAAATGTAAGAGCCATCAGTTCAAAGCAGTGGTCCTTAAAAGTAACACAAATAAGAAAAAGGGAAAAATTTCAAAAATTAGGCCCAACTGTATGAGGCAGAATTATTCTTTGTATATTTGTAATTTTTTTCCCTTGGAAAAGCTAATGGACCCACTTTATTTACAAAGATATTAAATCAATTGTTTTATCCATTTTTTAGACTGTGGTTCAAAACCTAAGGAAAGGTTCTGGTGGATTATTAATTCAAGAACTTTTAAGAGGCTCTATAACAGAATTTGCCTTTGATGTGGTTTCTTGTTTGTATATAAACATAACAGATGTCTAAAGGAATATACATTTTCTGCGTTGGAGTGGTTGCTACCCAATGATAGTTGAATTTAAACTTAGCGTTTTACAGGGTGTCTGCACAAAGTCAGGCTTACATTGTTAAATCTTGTAACTTTGAGCAAAAAGAATAAGTGAAGTGCCAATTCCCACAGGAATCCATGTTAAAACTCAGGTTTGGCTCCATAGGGCCAACCTTAGCAGAGAAAATAATTAAAACATTATACTAGTACTGGCAAGTTGAAATATAGTACCACCTGTAGTTTAAGTGGCTGAATTCCCACACTGGTAAAATAAATAATTGTTAAATAAAATAAAGTTTAAAATATAAAAGGAAACTATACTATTCTACAATACTATATTTTTAAACTGACCAGGCTCCATCTAGTGGCAGAAGAAAACACAAAAATAGGTGGGTGAAGATGATAAAGAGTTGGCAGAAGGATATAGACAGGTTAAGCGAGTGAGCAAAAGCTTGGTAGATAGAGTATAATGGGGAAAATATAAGGTTATGAAATTTGGCAGGAAGAATAGAAGATCAAAATACTTTTTTTAAATGGAGAAAGACTGCAGGAAGCTGCAGAGGGATTTGGGCGTCCTTATCCATGAATGACAATAAGCCAGCATTCAAATTTAGCAGGTAATAGGGAAGGCAAATAGAATGTTGACCTATATTTCAAAGAGAAAGGAGTATAAAAGTAGTAAGGCTTTGTCAAAACTATACAGGCACTACACAGAGCACAATACTGTGAACAATTTTGGACCCCTTATCTATGGAAAATTTACTGGCATTGGAGGTAATCCAGAGAAGGTTCACTAGGCTGATACCAGGCATGGAGGTACTGTCTTAGGAGGACAGGTTGATTAGTTTGGCCTTTACTCATTGTAATTTAGAGGAATGAGAGGTGACCTTATTAAAACATACAAGCTTCTTAAGGGACTTGAAAGAGTAGGTGCAGAAAGGTTGTTTTCCCTTTTGGGACAGTGTAGGAACAGAAGGCATAATCTCAGCATTAGGGATTGTACATTTAAAACAGAAATGAGGAGGAATTTCTTCACTCAGAGGATAGCAAATCTGTGAAATTCTGTACTGCAAAGGGCTGGATTGTTAAGTATATTCAAAGATGAGAGAGTTAGATTTTAATCAGTAAGGGAATCAAGGGTTAAAGGAAATTGGTAGGAGAGTGTTGAGTTGAAGATTATCAGATCAGCCATGATTGCGTTGAGCAATGGAACAGATTTAATGAGCTGAATGGCCAACTACTGCCCCTATATCTTAACAACTTAACTTGGTCAGTGCAACGTGATGCCCATGACTACACACACGGACTAACAGCGAAGAGAAGACCAGAACTTGAGCCTAAAGGCAATAGTGGGGGCGGGGGTCGGCAAGATTGAGGCAAAGCTACACTGGGAGAATGAGGTGGGGAGAGGTTGAGAGTGTGTTGGGGGTGGGGGCACAGGAGGAGGGCAGTGAGGAAGAAAGAGATTTGGCAGTGCAAGATGAGACTGGGAAGTGAGGCTAGGGTGGAGCTAGCCAGTAGACAAAGCCAGGTGAGCAAGCAGAGAGACAAGGCAGGATGCAAAGGCAAGAGGGAAGCAAGGATCCTTGCCAAGGCCACTATAACAGGAAATACAATATTGGATGCTGTCTTGTGATGGTGATGAACACAAAAGCACATGCAAACAAAAACTAAAACAAAAACAGGTAGGCAAGTGAAAAAGTAGGCTCTCCAGAAAAAAGAACATTAAAACACAATAACATTAAACAAGGCAATGTTAACAAAGGACTGACTATTAGATTGCTCAACTTATATTCCAATGATTTTAAAATAATTCCTAGTATTTTAGATGGTTGCTGAGGACTGCACATTGTGCATATTCGGTGAGTGAATATAGAAGATATCTGGAGAGCCTGGAGGTGAATGGAAGTAGGATGGGAAATTTAGGGGTATCCAAATTGGCTGGTGAGTGAAGTTTACAGGCCTTCAAAATGATGTTGGGGACTGGACTGCTGTGTTGGAAAACCAAAATGGGCCACCTAATTGGCCATCTCCACACTTGCCTGCCCCCACACCCA